ACACCTTCCATTAGAAATGTTCAATCTCTTGACACGCATAACCTGTAAACTCCATTTTATGGGTATTTGTTATTGTTTTGTTTGAGATGCTGTGCTTTAAATTTGAGATTGTATTTGCTTATCACTTTACACTGATCTCATGTTTTTTGTTAAGGAAGGTGTGTAAGTCATCTGATTGGCATGTTTATTCAGCGGTATAGACATAGATGACTGCTAATACTGTAAAATGATAGCAGTATTGCACATCCAGGAAATGTAAACACATTGCTTGCCAATGTCAAATATACACTGGTAATTTGCATACAAATAGGAGGTCATATTTGCATATCAGGTCTAAAAGCAGCCTGTTATGCCATTCAGTCGATGGGAAATGTCTCTGAATGAAATGACCCTTTCATAATTTTCATTGACTTCTGATACTAATAAAAATAACTGCTTTTGAATTATATATATCTGTTTGACATCATTCACGTACTTAACCTCATACTACATTCTACATGACATGCCATGTGCAAATATTATTTTTTAGTAATTGCTTTGTGTATAAGCTATAAATACTCTCTGAATAATCTCTCTGACTCAGAGGTGAGGAGCAGTGTGTGCTTTGAATATACAGCGAGAATATAATAGGTAAACAAATTAGCTTGATAATAGAAGTATTATCAGATGGACCATACATGAGAGAACAGGCATCCATATATTATTGTTCATTGAAATTCAATGAAAAGAAGAAAGAATCCCATTTGATTCATGCACTCCCCCACTATACTGCATATATGGTGTTTTTAATACAAATTTTATTTAGTAAATCTTGTATACACACACATGCTGGGTTTTTGCTTTTTTTCTGTTTTATTTTTTAAAATGTTGTTTATATTCTGTTCCCTAACCTTAACATGAGTTTTTACAATCAATCAATCAATCAAAGATAATTTAGTATGACTTATAAATGTTTTTCTCATGAGAGCTGAAATTTTGTCCCCACAAGCACAAAGTAAAAATGTAAGGTTTTACTATCCTTGTGGAGACATTTGGTCCCCACAATGTGCGTAAAGGAATTAAAGGGTAGTCAAATCTCGATCATTATTTACAAATCTGTATGATATTTTTTCACTGGAACACACAATACAATTTTATTGAAGCTCTTTGCCGTACAATAACAGTTCAAATAAATGAATAAATAAATAAATGCTACATCTAAGCAGTTTATATGTATGCAAGACAGCTGCATAAATATTCTTTAAAAAAATTATCTTTTTGTATTCCAGAAGAAAAAAAATCACAGCGAAAAACCATGGTTTGGAATGACATGAGGGTGTGTAAATAATGACAGAATTTTAAGTAAACGATTTCTAAAAGCACAGCAATTAACCCCAAGATTCTCTGGGTGAACTGTCTGGTAATCAAATGTCTGATGATTTTTTTGATATGCATAAAACATGCTGATTTCTCTAAGTATCTAACTATAATCCTGTAATCCTAAATAGCAATGCCCTAACACTAACCTAAACTTTAATGTATTCCTCATTGAGTCCCATGGAGACGGAGTTAGCATTAAGAGAGCAGAGGAAAGGGCTGGTTTGTGGTTTTGTTAACACAGGATAAGTTGCTGTTTGACTGCTGTAAAGAAATGAGTGATGGTTGGAGGAAGAAGAAACAGAATGAACATTTTCAACCATCTTTCTCCTGCAAATAAATGAGGGCTGTGTTTATAATGGAATCACAATGGAATATAAATTGTTTTTGTAGAATACCATTATCTTGGGATCTTGGCTTCTTTTGCATCTAAAAATAAAATGTGCTGATGGTGTAATCATGTGCAAAGCTGATAGTATAATTCCCCTAAAGAATGAAGAGTCTCTGCAGGAAACACAGCCTGCTCAATTAATTGATTTGCACAATTAAAACATGTAGCCCAGCTATTCTTGCACTGTGGATTGTAATAACTAACTCTTGCATAACATCAAGGTTCAATAAAATATTGTAAGCTCCAGGTGCAAGCGCCCCCGGTGTCTAACAATTATCATTGATTCTTCTTTCATGAAATCTATTTCTCAAGCTAATATTATGTCTGCATTGCAAATTATTATTTCATTGGACACGTTTTAATTATTCAACACCAACCTCAACATTTTTTGCATTCACTTCGGGGTCTCATTAGCAATTGAAAGTTTTTCAAGTGAAAGTTTTATTTCATTACCCAGAAAACAGATATTATACTGTGTTCCACTGATCTATCAGCACACAGTGTTTATTGCTTATGAGAGAGTGAGTGTGTTTCTCTTTCCCCATTATTCCTCTCCAACAGTGATCAGCACACAGACAGATGGATGGACAGAAGTATGGATGAAAGCATGGATGAATGGATACACAGAAGGATGAAGGGATAGATTGAGTTTTGCAGAATGCAGAACGTCACAATTAATAAATTGTATAAATCTATTTAAAATATGCAATAAGTTGCTCTGACCTGACATTTGTGCTAAACAGCTTTGTCTTGTCATGAGAACACTTTGTTCATATATATTAACTTGTCTTAATGTACTTTATTACATGTTTTTTCTTTTTCTCTTTTTGTTATTTGTAACATTTTAGTTTGGTGAATTATCCTTACAGAGCAGAAATACTATCAGCTAATTTGCAATTCCAAATTTAGCCAAAAACACTACAATGCAATACAATACAATACTATACTATACTAACAGTAAATTAAAGTACTGAGTTATGAGTCACATTAAATTGCACACCCAAAAACGCAGACCACAGCTGTGACTATTATAAAAATGACAATACAGTATTATAGCCTATTATAAAATATGGATATTTTACTAGGCTACATCTCAGCTAACACGTGATGTAATAGTTTAATTTATTGTACTTTTGGGTACTTTATTGTAATTTATTGGTATTTTTAAAACGTTTTTCCTTTGCATTTTTTTTGCGTACAAACGCCAACGTTGTCAATATGATCCCCGTTCACACGGATCCATGAGAATGATTTAAAACGCCGTATTATGCATGTCAGGCCAGTGATTGGAGATGGCATGTAGAAACACTACGCAAACACATAATACACATGCACATGGCGTCATAATTTTCATAAATGCACGTTTCTGTCCTTTTGCCTAAATGGAGAATTTTTTTTTGTATTTTCAAACCCGTTTTCAGAAGTTTGCATATTCAGGCCCCAAAATAGCCTAGCCTACTTTTGAAGGCCACAACACATTTTTTCCCCCATTTTTAGTTGAAAACGTGTTGTGTAGCCTAATTTATTTAGCTATAGGTTTATAGTTTTATTACCATTAAATTTCAATTCACAACATTCTTTTAATATGATCTGACCATAATTTGCTAATTAAAAATGTGTAATTAAAACGTCAGTCACAAAATTGAAAGTTCCAAATAAAATGTGTTTGTGTGCTTGTTTTTTTTTTTTTAATTTTTTTAATTTTTTTATTGCATATGAACATATATAACAGTAAGAGAAATACAACTTTGCATATAAATGCCATCAGTACACACGATTACAAGTAAAATAAAAAATTTGCCAGAGGAAGCAAGAAAACATAAAATAAATAAATAAAACAACTAAAATAATGAAGACAGTACAGTTTACTTGTCTATTTCAAATTTGCAGATAATGTTAAAAGTCCTGAGAGCTTTTTTGTTTTACATTTATATACCATATTACAGTATTGTTTAAATGAAAAACTGTTTCTTTTTCATTACTACAACATTATTATTACAATTTATTTGGTATGTTGTTTTTTAAAATATTAATATTTCCAATAAAAATTGAATTAGTTATATAATCCAGATTAGGGGTTTCATTACATTCATTTTTAAGAAGACATAATACCTTACTGGGTATAGCGTCCATTACAATGGCATATTCTCTGCGTCTCTAATTGGGATTTTACATTTGTCAAGAAACTCTGTGTATGATAATAAAACTCCATCACTATTCATCAACTGACTAACCAATAAAATATTATTTTCAAACCATACATTAAATAAAAGTGATTTATGTTTATATAAAATATCTCTGTTATTCCAGATATAATATCTTCTAGGGGAAAAGTTATGTTTATAGGCCCATGTCCAAGCCATGAGAGCTTTACTGGAATTTTGTCAATACAATAATTGCATTTTAACAAAAATTCAAGACCACTGACTGACTTAAACAAAAAGTTTGGGAATGTGTTCCACATATTATCTTTATTTTTTAAGTATTGTGTAATCCAATTCATTTTAAATACATTGTTTAGGGTATCATAATTTAATACCTCCAGGCCCCCATTGTCCTTTTTCCAAACTCAGTCCTGGAGGGCCACTGTCCTGCAGAGTTTAGCTCCAACCCCAATTAAACACACTGCACCAGCTAATCGAGGTCTTAGGCATACTAGAAACTGGCAGCCAGGTGTGTTGAGGCAAGTTGGAGCTAAACTCTGCAGGACAGTGGCCCTCCAGGACTGAGTTTGGACACCCCTGGTTTAGGGTATCATAATTTAACACCTCCAGGCCCCCATTGTCCTTTGAATGGCATAATATCTCTTTTCTCAAATAATGTGGTTTTCTTTTCCAAATAAAGTCGAAGAGTAATTTGTCCAACTGTTTGGGTGCCTGTGTTTTCCCTCATCAAGAAGATACGAATGATATGGCGCTCTGGAATAATTGATTCTGATTGGCCAATGGTGATACCGTGATAACGACCCTGATGTTGAGGAATTATAACATGGATCTTATTTGTTGTTTTAAAAATCTCTGTTTGATTTTTACTTTAGTAGGCTATTTAACATAATTAGGATATGTCTCGTCGTTATCCTTGGAAACGGCACAGTAGCTATTATAGAAGACATCAATTATACAGGCGAATATTGAGTTTAAATATAAATATAAAATGGGTCCATATCAGGGTACTATAGCAGTAGTTAACATATATAGCTTGATGAGTGTGTCGTGTGTCCTGCAGTGGTCCATGTGCAGATGTGTTCTGGCCCTTTAATAAAGTTGTGTGGCCCAGCTCAGTATGTTGGGATAACACACTGCTGGAGGCTGCTCGGGAACTTCAGGAATGGCGCAAGACATGCAACTCCATCCAGGCAAAATACTGATGCAAACACCATCCACACACGCCCAGTGCCTTTAGTAAATGCTCGTTTGTCCCGTGGATCATCGCCAAAGTGGGTAGTTGTATAAAGACAGCATGATTTGTGAGGGTATTCAACAACTCGTCGCCAAAGTTTTTTGCCGCTAACCTGCTCGCCTCTCCATATTTTATTTGCCAAGTAAGTGCAAAACATATTTAATGTAAACTCGACGAACACGCAATCGTATTTATACGTGTTTAACGTTTGATTTCGGTGCATTTTCTAGTTTTAAGAGTTTGCAGAGGGTTTAAAAAGTGAAAGTGTTTTCATCAGAGCTAACCAGTTAGCCATCTGAGTTCAGCAGCAGTAAACGGCACACTAACCATCTTCATCTTTAACTATAATAACAATAAGTCAGCAGTCAGATATACGTGCACAAAATGTATTTATATCTTTATTAGTGCACCACTCTAAGTTTCCCACCAGCTGTTGCTATGCAACGTACAGTGTAGCCAATCATCAACATGCTGTTTTATTAAACAGTTTAGTAAACACTGCTTTCTAGTTAGTAAACGTCTGACTTTTCTATTTGTTTTACTTACTGTGTTTGTTTTTCTTTCTATAGTATCATGTCATCTTTGATGCTATAAAGTTTGATGCAGAAAACCAGTTTGCAGCCTGGCTGGAGATAACGTTACACACACACACACACACACACACCTGCTACTGCTGCTGGAGTTTGTTTAGGGACACATCTGGATTAATCTTCCCCTTTCTGGATTGAAAAATGAAAGTGACAGTGACTTTTGGAAGGACCGGTGTTGTTGTCCCATGCAAAGAAGGATGGACAGTCCGGGATCTCATCCAGCAAGCCACCCAGAGATACAGAAAACTACTAGAGCAGGCGAGTATACTACTCATAATTTTTATTTTTGTTGAAATAAACCCTCATTATTTGCTTTATACCACTGAACACAAAAGGAGATGTTTAACCAAATGTTTATGCAGCTCTTCAAGTTTGAATATGTGCATGCTTTAATGGGATTTGAGAATCAAAGGATATTAAATGAATTATTAATTAAAAATGCTTTGCCATCATTTTGTCAGATAAAAATAAAATAGACTACCAAATTTGGGGTCAGTAAGATGTTTTTTTTATGTTTTGGAATAAAATCTCTTAAAGGGGTCATATGATGCTTTTTTTAAAGATCATTATTTTGTGTATTTGGTGTAACAGAATATGTTGACATGCTTTAATGTTCAAAAAACACATTATTGTTCAAATACTGTACATTATTGTAGGTCCTCTATGCCCCGCCTCTCTCAAACGCTTAGTTTTCTACAAAGTCCCTCCTTCCGACAAGCGCAGTCTGCTCTGATTGGCCAGCTGACCCGGTGCATTGTGATTGGCCGAACACCGCAAGCACTCTTACCAAATGTAACGCCCCTTACCATAATTGCGTCATCTTTCAAAATAAATGTAAAGACAGAGCCCGAAAGGGGAACAGAGTCGCGTGACAGACACAGTGATGAATATGTGTTTGCAGTACACAAGCCACGGTTAAGACCTCACTAAGGCTGTATTTTTTTTTCTTTGATACAGTAAAAACCGTAAAACTGTTTTCTATTTGAATATATTTTCAAATTTTATTTATTCCTTTACAGTAATTTATCCTTGTGACGGAAACAATTTTCCATTTTTCCAGTTTTCAGTGTCACATGATCCTTCAGAAATCATTCAAATTTTTTTATTTGGTGATCAAGAAACATTTCTTATTATTAGTAATGTTGAAAACTGCTGCTTAATATTTTTTTTTGGAAACTGTGATACAATTTCTTCTGAAAAAAAGGTGAAGAAAATATATTTATAAAAAAAATCATTATTTGGAATAGAAATATATATATATATATATATATATATATATATATATATATATATATATATATATATATGTG